GCTGTCTTCACCTCCACTGCCCTGTTCCCCCAGTGTCACTGCCTGATCATCCTGGCACACATGCCTGGCTGTATTCTGTCTCCCCTTCCTTTATCTGACCATGTGCTGTCCACGTATGGATTATCTCATCTTTTCTGTAGACTCCATGCTTTCTTCTTCTGTGGGTTCTGTTCCTCCCACAAAATCAATAGGTCCTTACCTGTTTATTCCATGATCTTTGCATGTGATCTGTGCACCCTTTTGCTGGGTTCAAGGTTTCCTCTTGATTGCCCGAGCAGCGCCACCCTTGTCCGCCCTTGTGCCCAGTTCCTTTTGGCGCTGTCCAGCCCAGCCCAGGTCAGCCCTTCACAAGTGCACCCCTCCTTCCTTATGCTCTTAATTCTCCAGGTAGCCTTTGGTAATCCCAGGAGGATGCCCAGTGGACTGTGTTATTTTGTAGGGTTGCTCCTGTTTTTAATTTCCCTACTCCCTGTTTTTTTTATATCCTTCCTTCCGACATGGAGTGTGATCACTGGGGAAGCCCGTCTCTGTGGTTTCCTTGAGTCACTCTGGATGTCTGAAGGTGTGGAGCCAATTTTTTATCTTTTAAGCACGTCTCAATGATGCCATTTGTCGTGATCTGCCACCAGACAAAAAATGTTTCCTCAGAATAAAGCTTTAACAGTGAATTATTTATATATTCTGTTCTCTCTGTTTGTGCCAAAATAAACGATGTTTGGTTGTAAAGAAGGTCTAAATTGTATGATGCCTTCAGAATGTGCTTAAATATTATCTTCAAATTTCTCTGCCACAGTTTTGAAGTTAAAGGGTATCTGGTGTGTTGTGAAATTCATGTATGTCACTGTGCGCCAGGCCTGCCCTGCTCTCCCTCAGGGTGAACACAGTGGTACAGAAGAGCTGACTTTTCAAAGATCCAGGAGTCCTTGCATTCATTAAACACTCAAGTATTAAATATTGGGGACCCTAATTCACAGAAATATAGACATTGTGTTTCCTGGTTTGTTAGTTATCCTCTCCACTCCTGTGTTGTGGGATGATTTCTGGTGTACTTTTACGAAGATGAGACCCTTGCCAGTGGCTTTAGGTCACAGTGACGCCATTTAAAGGGGTCACTCTCTGAAGACTGACATCATCCCGGCTTTTATTCTACATCCATGGCCCTGGCCTGTTTCTTAAATGAATTTCTATAATTTTTAACAAAGATGAAGCTACCTCCTTACAAAATTTTATACTTAGGAATTTTCCACATTTAATCCACATTACACAATATACTGTATAAGAAAGGCAACTAACAATAGCATCCATTTGGGCCATCCTATTGTTATACAGCTTCTATTCACCCATTTTTTGAAAATTCCAAAGAACTTTACCAACATGGCTGGTTAGCTTGTTCCTGACCCCTACAAGTCTTTATGTGAAGTGCTTCCTATTTAAATGTTGTCCAAATACACATCCTCTAAGTGTCTCCTTGAGCCCCAGGTTCTGGTGGCACTTTTAATACAGAAGTAGTCCTTTGGATTAACTTGGTATAAATGCAAACAGTAGTTTCAGGACTCGAGAGGCTCAGTTCCTCCATCTTGCCTATATGTTTTATTTGTATAAAATGAGGTATTAACCTTGTTGCTTTTCTTTGTAGTGGTTCCAGAGCAGCACTGTACTTCTGTAAATGTGGTGTTCCAAATGGCATGACTAGTATAATGTGTTAAGACCATAAGATTGTACCAGCACTGCCTAAATTTAACATCCCTTGGTTTACACTCTCTGTTTTCCATTCTTTTGATTGTATTCTACACTTGCTTACACTGTGTAGTGTCAGTTGGCTTGAAGGTGTAATGAAATTGTCAGATTTGGTGTGCGCACACGTTTAATACAAACTTCAGATCAGTGCTCGAGGCAGCCTCAGGGGAGCAGTATCTTGTCTGGCACTAATGTGGAAAAGCGCTGTTTGTCAGGAGTCGTAAGCCATTAGCACAGCTCTTCCAGCAGTCTACTGAGGCAAGCATAGTTGCCACCTATAAAAAGGTTGATAAAGCTGGAAGAGGTACTTCAGATCAAACTAACTTTTTTTACCTGTAAGATTATAGAAACAACAATTAGAATTAAACCAGAGCATCACCTATATGAAAATAGGATTCTAGGGAACAGTCAGCCTAGATTTAGAAAAGGTAGGTCTCCCTAAACTTGGACTGTTGCACCCTGTCTGTTGCAATTGAGATGTTTAACACAAGGCCTGAAGTAAACCAGTCTTCTACAGAGCTTATAACTCTTTAATGCTAACTGCATATTTCTACTGAGCTAATAACACTTTAACAACTGCAATTGTTATTGTGGTATTATGTGTTTTGCCGGTGCTTTATCAGGTGTAGCAGTATTCATGGTTATTAAATGATACCAATTCACCCTTTTCCAGAAACCAAAACATTGAAAATGTGTGTCATGTAAGTTAGTTTATTGTTAGCAGTGGCAAAAATGAGTCTTTGAAGGCCCTTCGTAGTCCTTCATCAGATCACAGTTGGTGAAAGGTAGCTCTGAAAAGAATCACTTTCTGTGGAAGCCTGTCCAGTCCCTGTGTCACACAGATGCTTGCCCAGGTCCTCTTGGATTCGGGCAGTGCTGGTCCTTGCTGTTGAGGGGTAGTGTAGAGAAACTGTGCCTCTTGTGGAGGAGAAGGCTGTCTTATTTCTTCATTGCACATGTTAGCATCCAGATGCTGGATAGTACATATTTTATACACATATATACTTATGTTTCTGCCTTATTAATACCATGTGGCTTGTTGCTCATAAAATGTCAAGTGCATCAAACAGCTGTACAGCAGTAGCCTTACTTCTATTTCTGGGTAACTACCCTTGGTTAACCCTGGCCTTTCCTCTTTTGCCCATTGGCCTTTAGTTTAACAGCCTGAGGCTGAAGGGGAGCTTGCAGGCTCTTCTGTCTGAGAGAAGATTACAGGACACTTGATAGTGACCTTTTCTGGCTTTTTGTCCTGTTGTCTGCGAGAACATGCGAGAACATGCTTCTTCTTAAAACCGCACCAGGGTTGATTTATTGCACTCAGCTGTCTACCTCTTCCCTTCTCTTGCTTCGTGCTGACCTCAGGCCTGCACCCTCCTGGCCTCTCCTGGGCTATGAGATATATCCTTACAGAGAACATCCTGCTCTTTTCCTGCCCTGTCATTATCTGCAGACAGGGAGCCCTGTCCCAGAAGCCCCTAATGTCTCTACTGAGCCCTAGATCTCCCTCTTCTTGCTGTGGGATGCTGCCTCCTTGCATTATGCTAGTGTGTTTCTTTTTGATTATTAACATTTTCTTTTTCTCTTCAAAAACTTTCTGTTCTTCTATGGTTGGTCCCAACATCTTATTTTGCTGTGCTGTTGCATGTCGCGAGTGCTGTGTGTCGAGTGCATTTTGGGCACATGTCGGCTTTGTGTTTATTTTATGTTGTGTCTTTCAGCTGGCCCACTGCATGATGTGAAGCGAATTGCTTGGAACAGTTCAGGACAGGCTTCTGATTTAGATCACTCTCAGTCCGTAGCCTCTGCTGGGGCGCTTGGCAGCAGCAGCACACAGCAGTGTAAGTGCTGGCCCAGGTGTGTGGGAGTTTTCCTGATGCTCAGGCCTGGTTTACAGTGCCAGGCAAGCACACCTTTTAACACTACAGAACCTGTCATTCCCTCACCTTCCACAGCCTGGACTGCCTCCTTCCCCAGCAGTCTCCCAGATAAGCTCAGGTGAGATCAGGCCAGTTTACATTCAGTCATGGTTTACTACCACGTCAGACAGGTCCTGATGCTTCTCGACAGTACGGATGTCCTTCAGGCTGTGTCAGAATCTGTTGGGGTTTGTGTGAACGTTGACCTCTTCATCTGTGGCTCAGTGTTGAGCTGGTGTTGACTAGTGTTGACCGGTGTGAGCAGGTCATTGGAGAAAGCTTCTCTTTCAGTGTGTTCTACGATATACATTTCTTACACTGTGGGTGCCTTCAAATAGTGGGGTTTTCTTCTCCATCCTGCCAACATTGAGAATGAAATCAAATTAAAACAGTTATTTAAGGAGCGCAGTGCCGGTAAAATATTTCAATAGAAGTTGCCATGAAGTTCTCCTTGCAATAGCTAATGGCTAAGATGTGATTTCAGTTAGATGAGATTTCTGTGAGTTATTTAATAAAGCCAAGTGTTAACTAGCAAAGACAGGGCTCATAATAAGTGAGAACTACAGTCCATGAGCCTGTGGCAGTGCAAGACGGCAAATGTTGATGAAGGATAGTTGGCTGCACTGGGATTCGAGGGAAATTAAGGGAACTTTAACAGGTTAGCTTGGAGGGACCGAAGGATCGTGAGAGCCAGAGGGTCTCCAGAAGCAGGTTAGCAGATCAGAAGTGAACACAGCACACACAGCAGGGTGACCTTTCTTTGACAAAGACGCGCTGGTTTATTGATGGGGTCAGAATAATTTTTAGGAATTCCTGCTCTACTATCTGAATGATTTCAATCAGAAATTCAGAAAGAGTTGTTGTACTCAAAATTAGAAAGCTGTGATGAAAAGCACAAAAATAGTTTAGTTTTCAGAACCCTTTCCTGCTCTTTTAAAATTGAAACAAATACTGTATACTAAATGTGCAGTAACTCATTATACTGTACATTTTTACAATACAGTAGGGTCTGGCATAATCTACTATAATATATGTATGTATGGTTTAAAGACATAAATAGCCCTTCCTTATTTGATTACTAAAGTACTAATGCGTTGGGTTCTTGTTATTTAAAATAACATTGATCAACTAGATCAAACAACAGTAATTGCAAACTTATATTAATCATTTAATATATACAACAGGCTGCCCTTTTACAGTATGTGGCCAGCCTGCACTCTCTGTGTCTGTGATCAACATGTCCCGCTGTAATGAAACGGCCAATAAAACTGTCAGTGAGCCTGTCCCCACTCCAACGCCACAGAACCAGGAATGTTCGTTACAATACGCTAAGGTGAGGATACTGGACAGTGTGTACTCAGGCAGGAGATAGGGAGAGGCTCACTCACTAGCTAGATTCGTCTCACAATCCTAAAATGTTGTGCTGCTAATTTGATAGTTGAGGATATCAACCTTTTCAGGTTTCATCCTGCTTTGCCCTTCTTCTTACAATACCCCCCCCCCCATCAACCAGACAGATCACGTATGCTTATAATTCAAGAATGTTAAATTCACACATGTCAAGACCCTACTGTTAACTACAAAAACTGTACAATACCCATCCAGACTTCTGATTTATGTTTCTTGGAGCTGTGGGCATAGTGCTGTGCAAGTCATTGACCCAGTTCAGGAATTCTGTGTAGAACAGACTTTAAAGGTGGCCTGTCTTGTTTCTAATGCTGTTCAGCTCCTTGCTTCAGCTTGGCTGTTTCCGCTGAATCCCAGCACAATTGTTGGGATTCGCCTGGGTGTCTCTACCCTCGGTACCCCGAGGTACAGCAGGAGGAAACAGATGGCAATTTCCAGACGGCTGACGAACAGGCCCTGCTGGCCTGCCTTCCCTCCACGTTCGCGCGTCCTCTCCCTCTGGTTGACGGAAGGGCTGAGGAGTGTACTGTATGTATGTGCGTCCACGTGTAACCGAAACATCTCTCTGCTTCTGTTCCCCTCTTTCACCCCTCCAGCCCGCAAGCAGGAGATCATCAAGATCACCGAACAGCTGATTGAAGCCATCAACAACGGCGATTTTGAAGCTTACACGTGAGTACCCCACAACTGCTGCTACGCGCCTTATTTCGGCAGGAAGAAGACCCCACAACCACACATCAATGTTCCCTCTAAGATGTGTGCGTGTGCGCGCGCACACAGGTTATGAAATCACTGCACATAGGAAATTGAACTGCGCACAAAAAAACTAAATTCCAAAAAAAGTATGATAATAAAACAAACATGGACATCAATTGAAAAATGCTAAATTGACCACATGAGACTGGCTGCGAGAAGCCCAACTTGGCTGTGTGCATTATTATTGCTACTCGATAATTGATATCTATGCTCTCGTAGTCTCGTACCTCACTACTCATGCTCGCGCCACACAGTCTCTGTGACTGATCTCTATGCTTCTATGAGAATACTATATTAAAAAAAATTTAAGTTCAGGTTTAAGATTTTACATACACACAATTTAGTGCGCACAAGTTTTTGTCACTGGGGAAATAATTTGCATTACTTGAAATTTTTGTGCGCACAGGCCATAAAAAATCAGAGGGAACCTTGCCACATGTGTGTCTTAGATTTTGTGGTGCTGATCGGGGAGCTGTCAGTGCCCACAAGTCCTTGGAAGTGTCCAGTTCTAGCTGTGGCGATGTCCGGTGTATGAAGTGCGTGGCAAGATGCGTGGCACAGCGAGATGTGAGGGACCAGTTAACACATTGCAGAGGCTTTAGACCAGATCCAACAGTGCTGCTCTGTCCTGGACCAGGGCCCATCCCCCTCAGTCATCCCTGACACCCCTCCCAGCTGTACAGAGAGTGTCTAGCAGTTTGGGGGATTCAACCTTTGTTGAGTGAGAGTCTTGTCCTCTCCATTTTCCTGTCACTGGAGGTACCTGGAGAAGCTCCCTTGTGTGCCATTTGGCACCAAACTCCAGGCTTGGTTTTTAAAGATTTTAACATTTTAAAGAGGTTTTTCTTTAGCTTCAATTCAATTCAATTCAACTTTATTGTCATTAAACTTACACAGGTGCATAGTATAATGAAAAGTGTTTCTCATTAGTCACTCAGGTGCAATATATAAATAGGACAGAAGATAAGACAATAGACAGTAACACAATAGCAATAACAGTAACATGTAATAACATAACATAAATAACATGTAATCAAGTAATCAAAACTGCAAAATTCCGCAAACAGAGAAAATATAACGGGAACAGTGCAAAAATAGTATGGTTAAAAATAGTATGGTTAATTAATAAATATTAAATATTATTATGACTGGTACAGTTTTACTGGGCTATCGAAGGGACAGTACAATGTTGGCTTACATGTGTGTGTAGTGGTGTAGGAGTACAGTCATTGTGGGTACAGGAAGACGTTAGGAGAGATCATAATATGGTCACCCATAATAGCTTGGGTGTGCTTTTGTGTACAGATATGCATGTCTAGCTGCCATATTGCAATGAGTGTTCTTCAAGCAGAGATCATGGATACTATATGTCAGACAACACCAAGCATCGCAAAAGGCACACAGACTCTCTGTCGTGTGCTAATATTCAAACCGGTGGTGCATCTTAGAGTGAATTAGAGAGTCTGAGCATTAGCTGGGAGGAGGGGTTATGCTTTCTTTAACATGCGTGTAACGTGACTGCAGAGAATATCGGGCTTTTCCTCCAACAGGAGAATCTGTGACCCTGGGCTGACCTCCTTTGAACCCGAGGCACTGGGGAACCTGGTGGAGGGCATGGATTTCCACAAATTTTACTTTGAGAACTGTGAGTGGCACCTGGTCCAAACCCATTTGGGTCAAATGATTTTTTTATATTTGGGAAAAAGAGGAACATAGCACCGGTGTTATCATACAGTGGGCTTAACTGCCTCTCTGTTCCTGATCAGAAAGGGCTTAGGGGCCCTCTGCATGTCCCCTGATGACACCCAAGGCCTGGTCACCCCAAGACAGACGAATCAGTCTCTGTTTTTTGCATTCGTGTCATTGATTGCACGTGTTGATTAATTTCCACAAGTACGTTTATTGTTGCTGTTCTTCACTTGGCTTTTCTGGCAGTTTAAAGTGGGGAGGGGCTGCAAAGACAAAGTGCTTGAAAAGGATTTAGGAATCTAAGGGTATCTCCACCTTTTGCTATTGATCCCTTGCGTGGCAGAGTGGTGTATTCACTTGGACTGATTAACATCCCAGGAGTCCACTTCAAAGTTGTGTGTCTGCCTTGTGAGCTGTGTGCTTCCTGAGTTTAATAAGATAAGATGTTGTGAGAGAGTGTTATCATCCTACTAGGCTTGTTATAGTTTGACCGCAGTTATGCTTTCTTCTGGGAGCTGTGCAGCTACCTCATCACAAGATCCAAGCAGCTGCACATATACTGCCAGACCCTAGATTTGAAGTGGCATGTGGGGTACCCTGAGTACCAGAGCCACACAGCCTCAAGAGAGTATCAAATCCTCTAAGTTAAGAGGCCTGTCTCCTCCTGCGGGATTCTTCACTGCTCCTGAGAGCCTAGGGATGTGAGATCACGGAGACATAAGCATGTGTGTGTGTGCCTTGGTATTGCCAGTCTCGACATTGACCTGCACTGTCCCTCTGCAGTATTGAGTAAGAACAGCAAACCTGTCCACACCACCATCCTGAACCCCCATGTCCACCTGATTGGGGAGGACGCCGCCTGCATCGCCTACATCCGCCTGACGCAGTACATCGACAGCCAGGGCCGGCCACGCAGCTCCCAGTCTGAGGAGACCCGCGTCTGGCACCGCCGCGACGCCAAGTGGCTCAACGTGCATTTCCACTGCTCAGGCGCGCCTGCCGCTCCGCTACAGTGAACCCCAAGGGCACAGGTGAGGCGCCAGGCGTAAGGGTTTTTTTACTGGCTTAGCTTGAGGCACTTGCCTTAGCAGAGGTTGAGCTCTGGTCACGGGTGCGGGCCTGGATCATGTGACTAGCCAACTATGACTGAGATTCACCAAGCGCCAGGCGCACAAGCAGAGAGGTGTCAGCTGTAAGTGACACAGTGCCCGTTGTGGCCTCCTGGACGAGTTCAGGCAATTGGGGCTGTGGGTGAGAGACACACTTCTCCAGTATGGGGCGGTACTTCCTGTGGTGTGTTAAAAGACGATTGGCTCAGAGGTGAGTGGGAGGAGTCTGCGTACACTTCCTCACTATCCCCTTGTGCGGTTCTGGGGTTTGGAGTTGCGATCTAGTTGGCAGTTTCACATTGGCTAGGCATAACAAAAATACTATATTTAAACAAAGATAAGTATATCAACAACAGAGTGCAGTTAGAAAATGTTTGGAGGTTACTCAGTAAGAATTTAGGAACCTTCACAAATGAATAGAGCCCATCCAGCCCATCCAGCCCATCCAGCCCATCCAGTAGTCAGCAGTTAATTGATCCCAGGATCTCACCCAGCTCCTTTTGATGGCTGGGTAATGACATTTAATCAAGCATGTGAATATATGATTATCTGACTATCATTATTTAATCTGATCATCTTTGCAGACAGTATTTTTCAGGAAGTTAATCTCCTGAAAAAACACACCCAGGACTGTTACTTAGAATTAGTGAATTAGAATTAATTCAGAACAATCATAATGATAGATACTTTATTGATCCCATGAGGGAAATTGCAGTGCAACAGCATTTTAACACAGACTACACAGCAACAATGTAACAAATGATACAATAATAATAATACAATACATACAATACAATCGGTACAGTGAGAAGTGCACTAAGAAGAGTTACTCACAGTCCAGAACACACAAAGAACAAACCAGAACAGATCAGTACACAGAAAAGTCGTATTGCACAATATGTTTATAAATATAAATGTATTGCACAGGTCCCTGGTATATATTGCACAAAAATGGTTATAAATGGGAAAAGAAAAATAACAGATGTAGAAGTATACTGCTCAGTCCAGAAACAGGTCACTGTCAATGTTCCCCCTGCCCAGATGCAAGGTGGATGCGTTGTACAGTCTTATGGCAGAGGGCAAGAATGACCTTCTGAGCACTCCCTGTCGCACCGTGGATGAATCAGTCTATTGCTGAACGTGCTCTTCATTCTCACAAGCATGTCATAGAGGGGATGGGAGATGTTGTCCATGATGGCCTCTAGTTTGGACACCATTCTCCTCTCAGCCACTACCTCCAGGGGGTCCAGACCAGACCCAATGACAGAGCTTGCTCTACTGATCAGCCTGTTAGAATCCACTGCTCTAATCCCAGAGCCCCAGCATACCACTGCGTAGAAAATGGTGCTCGCTACCACCGACTGATAGAACAAATGTAGCATCTTACTACACACATTGAAGGACCTGAGCCTCCTCAAGAAATAAAGTCAGCTCTGACCCTTCTTGTAAATGGCCTCGATATTCTCAGACCATTCCAGTCTATCGCCGATGTGCACTCCCAGGTACTTGTACGAGTCCACCATCTCCACACCACTCCCATGGATGTAGACAGAGTAGAATAGAATGGACTTTAAAGTTTTCACTGCTGCTTTTTCTTATAAGTCTCTCTTATTTTTCTTATTATAGTCGTATGTTTTAACACCCATATTTACACACTGAGCACTTATTGGCTTTTTGAAAACCATGTGTCCTTAGGTTATACTGGTTATGCCAGCCAGCGCCTGCACTCTGTCAATTCCAGTGGCTCACCATCTCTCTCTCTCTCCCCCCTCCTGTCAGCTCGCCTGGATTCTCAAGCTGATTGGAGCGTTTCTTCTCCGTGGTCAGATCAGCGCCGGGAGCCCGGCCAGACGAGACCTCTCGAAGTTTAAAACAAAACAAAAACAAAATTCAGTACAAGCCAACAAACACCACCAACCCAGTTCAACCCTAGCCAGCCGCTGGGAGCCCGTGCGACAGTGGCTCTGCTCTCGGGACGGTGCATGCTTCTCACGCCCACTGGGGGCCGCTGTCTTCTTGTTGTGTTTCATGGATCCATCTTTTTTGCCCGTTTATGCTGTCCAGAAGGTGTTTAAAAATTATATATATATTACAAAAAGGAAAAAAAAAAAATGTACCGGGAGAAAAAAAAAACCTTTCTATGAGGAAAGAGAAACAGAAGTGAAATGATTGAAGTTTTAGAAACAGGAATGCCAAGTGGACACACCCGGAGTTCTAGAGCCGGGTGCTACAGACAGTTTTTCTTTCAAAACCTAAAACCTATACGTGTTTGATTTTTGATGTTAACGTCAACAAGAGGGAAATCTAGACAAGTTACTATATCAGAATTATAAAGCACCAAAGTGAAGACTTGAGGCATTGAAAGGAGGCTGTTTTAGTGTTGGTTTTATTTTAGGGGTTGGGGTTTTGGGTAGAGGGGCTGCGGGTCAGATGTTTAGTATTCTGTTGTGTTCTTGTGGAACTCTTTGATTTTTATCTCTGAATGATGCTTGTATTTGAGACGTATTTTTTGTTTTTGCGCCGATTAAGTTTAAAAGGGGATTTTTTTGAATATGTATATATGAATATATATATACGGAGAGAGTGGAAGTAAATTTCACTTTTGAGTATTGGGGAAAGGGGGCTTGTATGTATCCCCATCCCAGCTCCCGCCCCCCTTGGGCTGCTTGCTGTGCAAAATTGAGAAACCTCTACTTAAAAAAAAAAAGGCACAGACTTTTCAGGCCCTTTTTTTGTGTCCCGCCGGCTCGACCGCTGACATCCCAGCTCGGGCCTGCCTGCCTCTCCAGCTCGGCATGCAGTTGCCACAAAAACCTGAAGTAACAGAAAATGCAGACTTGCGTTTTCTGGTATTCAAAAATGAGAACCGTCCTCCCCCTGACAGCAGGGCAGCACTGAAGGCTTCTAGAATGTACGCAACGTCTGGAGGGCACCAGACCATTGCTGAGGGTCTTCAAGTCTCTTCTTCTCCTCCTCCTCCACCTCTGTCTCCTCACTCCTGTCATCCTCACGCTCGATATCTCGGTCCGGCCTAGTCAACCAGTCCTATTTTCCCAGCCTTTTCCTTTTCCTCCACCCATTTGTACAAACCAACCCCAAATGTGTCCCGGTGTGCTTTGAGTGGCTTTGAGGCTCTGTGCTCTTGTGTCCGTCTGTTTGAGCTCTACACCTCACCTTCTGAAACTTCTGGGTGAGGTAATGTGATGTCCTCCCAGCAGCTTGGAAAGCACAACTGCACTAGGGCAGTTCATCCCTGTCCATCCAGCTCTTCAGAGGCTCAAACACAGTTCCTTCAAATTTAGTTGTCTTTCCTTTCTCTCCCAATGACACATTTTTAGGCCCGCCGGTGCACGGCTTGCACATCACACTTTCTTTCAATTATGTTTCTTTTGCTTTCATTTTTGTTACATGACGTTTCGGCAGCAGTCCCAGGATACATTGAATGAAGAAGCAGTCAGGCAGTCGGGCCTGTGTTAGGCCTCTCCACCGGGAAACTCTAGCAAGGAAGCTGTCACCAAGCAGCTTTTTTCTAAAATAGAAATTAGACCACGGTCTTCCCCTGAGTTTATAGAAGAGACATGGGTGGTGGTTGTAGGCGAAGCTGCAGAAACAGTTTTTAAAAAATAAAACTAGAAGGTGACGGCTGTCCTGGGCAATTGAAGGGTCTAATTCTTTTATCACTGTTTATCTTGTTCTTAATGTTATTGTTTTTATTAGCATTCTAGTTGTTGTTGCCGTCATTATTTTAATTTGAATAGTAGATACAATAGTAGAATCGGGTGAATGTGAGGTTTGAGCTCAGGCCCAGGGGATATGGCTTAAAATTTAGTGTGTGGCCTCAGAGAGGTTGCAGGTCGTGACCTCTTATCTTGTCCCACACATGCACACAATTGCCCCAGAGCTGCGGACTGCCCCTCAGCAGACCCCTGCGCTTGTGTACCTGCTATTAACACCATGAAGGACTCAAACCAGCTGCTACTCTCAGCAACGTGGCGACAGTTGTCATGACGATGTCACCACAGCGGAAGAAGTGGAGAGAGGGGAGAGAACTGAGGGCATGGCTGCACATTTTAAAAAGACAAAAAAGAGGTCCCTTTAAATATATCCTTGTTCATGGCAAAATCTGCCAAAATAGCCTTTGTTTTCACTGTGCTCGGCAGAAATCTGTGTGAGGTGTAAATGCTGGGGCCACGCTCTGTTTTCAGGAGGGGCCCAGGGCCCGTTGTGCTGCGCCACGTTCTGTAACAAGCTCCGCGACGCATATCCAAGACGGGTGGGGGGAGCTGAGAGGCCAAGAAAGAGGGGCAGAGAAAATCGAGCATCTCTGCGCTGACATACAGTACCTTGTGGGATTCAAACAGGATCCCGTGGCGCTTAAACCTTTAAAGAAGAACAAACCGAGCCCAGCCTTTCTTGCACATCTCATGTTAACACACTGATGGGCTACGTACACATATCAACACCATGACACTGTGTCATCTACACCGCAATGCTATTGTAATAGACAATGTGATGTTCTGTTTTTAAGTAGTTTGACTTGCGCTGTGGGAACAGACTACCTTGCCTGGCCAAGCTAAATCATGAAATCACAGCCAAGGGTCTTTTGTGGAAGATTACAAACCGCAGGTTTACTCAAAAAAAAAAGGGGAAAGAAATTGAGACACTAAATGCGAGAGAAGGACAGTACACCCGAGATGGTACTTTTACAGCTGCCTGGAAACGGAGGGCCTTGGCTACTTAAAAAAAAATCTTAAAAAGTCACAGTTAACAAAAAAAATATATATGCAGTTTTACAAAAAAATATGCATGTCTACTTTCTGGTAAATATTTTTCACCGTCTGTGTTTACTTGATAAAAGTTTAAAACCTATCTATGTTAGTTGCATCTTTGCAGTAAATGAAAACTGCTCAGTCTCAGATATAAGTGATGTATCACATTAAAATGAAAAAAGAAAAATGTAACAAAAGCCTTAGCTTGGTATGTTCCCATTCTTATTAGTAAGTAAACTTATTGCATTGTAACCGTATACTATGGGGCTACATAAAAATATACTCTGAATTTTAAATTGGATGCTGGATTTTGCATGATCATGTTATTAATAAACCATGAATTTAAAACTATCAAGTGTTTGTTTGAATGTTAGTAGGTCTTCATCATAGCTTTGTTATTCTTGAAACTTGATCTGAAAGTATTTAATAAAAATAACATTTAAACAGTGTCAGCTGGTCGCCTCTCTTTTACATTCGTCTGCTTTGAGATAAACGCACTGTTTAGAACAAGTACTGTGGTCTCCGTGGTCAGCCTGTCCACATTGTGTCTTCATTAGGACATGAAGATGGCTATGGGAATCTTATTCCACACTCCCACCACCCTTTGTGTAAGGTACATCCAGTTCTCTATTTTTAAATGCACTGTGCTGTATTGCCCACTGGTTTGTGTTTCAGTGTTGTTGCTGAAGAACTCCACTATGATTGCCTTTCAGATTGGGTCTGAGAATCGATGTTCTCCTGTGTTGCTAGTTTAGGACATTTCTTTGAGCCAGGAAATGTACCTGGTTACTCTTTTCTGTCCTAGTTCCAGAACAGCAATATCTTTTTTGTGTTTGTCAAAACATGTTTACACTATTCAAAATAAAATCTTAATAATGTGCTTTTTTAAAGTTAACATCCATTTATTTAAATTCTATATGCTTTTTAACTATACATATTCAAATTAATTTTTTTTTTAGAGCTGCTCCCCTCCCCCCCATTTAAAAACTGAAAATGATGTCAGTATAAAATTCAAATTCTTGCACTCAGTGCTTCCTATTATAGATTTGTTGCTTCTGCCTCCGCAGGTAACTCCCTCTCTCTAGTGCTTTAAAAGTGTTAGACCGCTTGCCAGAGCGTAGGGGGGAGGACAGTTTATGGCCGGGATGGTTGGGATCATGATTGATGGATTGGGCTTTGTGGATCTCACCGATTGATGGCAGATCACATTCTATAATTCTCTGTGCCGTTGCCATAACCCTTCGTAGTGCATCTCTGTCATGCATGGTAGTATTACTGTACCACACAGTGAGGACACTTTCTATGGTGCTGTGGTAAAAGTTCATGAGGAACTGCTTCCCCAAACCGCATTTCTTTAAGCACCACAGAAAGTGCAAGCGCTGTTGTGCCTTTTTCAGACTGGCTACAGTGTTGTGAGTCCAAGCCAAGTCAGTGGAGATTTGCAGGTCAAGGAACCTGAAACAGCTGATAGTTTCAACTGCTGTGCCATTGATGCTGGTTGGGGTTAGGAAGATCAGAAAGAGTTCTGTTGGAGCGCACTCAGACTCCTTCCTTAAGTGAAGTGGCTGCTCTGCAGGCAGCTACTGATGAGAGGGAACAGGAGTCTTGGGTGGGCTCTGGTTGCTGTTATAATACTGCGAAGGGACTGTGGGTCTCCCACGCTGGCCGGATGGTGGCATCCCACTCTTTACTCCCATGGCTTGCCTGCTGGGCACACGATCATGGGCCATACGGGCAAAGGGCAGATGTGTCAGACGGTGCAAACTCAATGGTTTGCCCCTGGATTCACTAGTGTAGCAGAACAGCTGAGCAAACAATGTGTAATCTGCAAGCAGCACAACCCTGGAAAGGGTCCAAAAGTTGCCACCTCTGCACACCCTCCACCATGGGGACCTTTTGTACATATATAGATATATTTTGTACAAATGCCAAAGTGTTGTGGGTACGAATATGTGTTAGTGATTGTGGATATGTTTTGTAAATGGGTTGAGACCTACCCTTGCAGAAAAGCTGATGCCATCACTGTTGCAAAGGTTTTGATGAGCGACATGGTACAATGTGTAGATTTGGGATCCTGGAGATGATTTGTAGTGACCAAGGAACTAATTTCACTGGACAAAGCATGAAAGAAATGTGTAAGGCCTTACAAATAAAGCAGTGCCTACACTGCCCATTTCACCCTCAGTCTGTAGGAGCAGTAGAGAGACAAAATGGAAGTCTGAAAAACAAATTAGCTCAAATTTGCGAACAAACTGGCCTCAAATGCCATGATGCGCTGCCCATTGCATTAATAGCCATGCGGTCCACTGCAAACCAAAAGACTGGACTCTCGCCAGGTCCTGATGGGCAGGCGTATGAGGCTGCCGGTATCTCTGCTCTTAACACTGAAGAAAAAGGATCAATCAAACGGATAACGTAATCTTGTCCTTTTGCATTGGTCTAACTTGAGCTGTCAAGGCTTTTCATTTGCAGGTGCTGGCAGTGCAGGCTGAACCAGCAACCGAAGACTGTCACTCTTTTCAGCTGCGTGACTTTACGTGACCAAGGACCACCAACGAAAGAATGCACTGCAACCTAGGTGGGAAGGCCCATACTACTACTACTGCTACTGTATGTGCTACTCACCACCCACCCCGCAGTAAAATACTGTACCAGGGCAAGACAACATGGATCCACCTGTCTCACTGCAAGAAGAGGGAGTGGTGGAGATTCCAGTCAGAACCCTATCACCCCAGATTCCAGTCTTCATAGTTTGCTTTCCCCTTCTGTGGGAAGGAGGAGATGAAACTGTTCCCTGACCCCAGAAGCACTGCTGGCCAGATCAGGAAGCCCTGAAGCAAATGGCATCAGTCCCATGCCACCAGGATCACCACAGGCCAGGAGTAGCAGCCCAGAAGAAGATGAAGGCAGGATGCTTTCTAAGCACAGACTGAAAAGATCACTCAACCCGCAAATTGATGAGCATACCCACGATAAGGGAGTGCAAGGGATAAATACATTTTCAGCTCTGTTGTATTTGTATGCAATCCGAGAGAATCAGAGTTCATGTTGGGTTTGCACAGCGGTGCCCCACACTGCAGTAGGGGGGTTACCCTTGGGAGTGTTTCCCCTAGATGCAAATGATTATTGTGGTTTGTTTGCTTATAATAAGATGTTTGGCAGGAACGGAAGAAAGAGAAACTTCACCACTTCAGCTAGAATAGTTCTGCCAAACGACACAGCTGCAGCAGGGGGACAATGTGTATACTTTCCTAACAGTTATTACCCAGCTGTTGACCCATCTCGTAAACCTCCCAGGATTATACTGGGCTCAAGCCCACAGGGGTTTATCTGTGCTGTAAGAACTAATGGCACTAATGGCACCTGTTGGTTTAATTTCACGATAAATGTAATTGAGACTGATGACGCCTCAATAGCAGGTGGAGAAGAAGTCACCTTTCCATACGGTCCTGGAAATAATAAGACCTTTAAGTTGACTAGATTTAAAGCATCTGCACCTCAGCCATCCTTAACGGTATTTTTGGGATTTGCGGGGAGCATGCCTACCGCTGGCTGCCCCAGGGATGGTTGGGATCTTGTTATCTAGGATATGTGGTGCCCTATTTCATGTTACAGAAGCAAAGCCTCTTCCAGTCTAAGCCTGCTAGCCAGCAAAGGAAGATCATGGAAACTGAACTGTTCTTTGCTATTGCCTTTCCGCCTTATGGAGTAGCAAAGTTGGCCCATGAAGCTATAAACATGGCTGATTCATTGGAGGGATTGGCAAATGAGACAACCGAGGGTCTTCGATCAATAAATGCCAAATCGGTGGCACCGAGTACCGTTGCAATGCAGAATCGTATGGCAGTGGACTACCTTTTGGCTGCCCAGGGCAGTACGTGTGCTGTGATAGGCTCTGAGAGTTGCACCTACAGTGCCTTGCGAAAGTATTCGGCCCCCTTGAACTTTTCAACCTTTTGCCACATTTCAGGCTTCAAACATAAAGATATAAAT